GCTTTTTTTTTTTCAACCAACACTGCCCCAAATTCACCCCCACGTTCTCCCCTGCTCAGCAGCCCACCCTGCTTCCTACCCATGATTTAATATCCCAGGGCTGGAATTCTCATGTTACCAAGATGTCGGGACTTGCTGCGGTGATTCGGTGGCAGATCTGCTGGGTTTTAACACCAAGAATGGAGGAAGGAGTGAGGGGCACTTGGGTGATGCCACGTTGATCAAAACCTTGTGGATGGTTTTTTTTCTGCTCATTTATAGAAATGTGATTATCTGCAAACAAGCTGGTTCATTGGCACTCGAGGACAACACAGGGCGTGTGGCACTGGTTGGGGGGTGGCTTTGTCAGGGGGTGTAAGCACTACTGGGCACCCATGGGTGCTTGGGTGAGGTGGCCCAGGGTGCTGCTGGATTTGGGACTGTGCATTGCCCCCAAATTGCCGTTTTTCCAACAGGAGAGGGGCACAAAGCTCATGAGAGGGGACGGCTGGAAGAGTTTCAGCTGCTTCCCAGCCCAGCGATGCCCACGATGCCTTTAAAGCTTGGAAGTGGATTTTAAAAGCTTTGGCAGGAGGGTGATGCAGAGGGGATGATGTACCAAGCCCTGGGTACCATACCATACCCCCACCATGAAAGCCAGTCACACCTTGGTGCATCCCATGGGGCTGGGGTGAGACCCTGGGGGCTGCTGCTTTTGTAGGACCAAGCTGGAGTTGGGGGGTGCAGGAGATGACCAGGATAGCTGCAGGGGCTGCAAACCTCCCAGAAGGGAGTATGTTGTGTCTCAAGGTCCTGCAGCCCCTTGCAGACCTAAAAGAGCAGCAACTGCTCAGGAAGAACAACTCCAGCCCCCCTCAAAGACCCTGAGAAATGAGGGGAAAAGCTTTAAAAAAAGAGGTTAAGAACAACCCGAAAATCCACGTGTTCTCCTGCTCCCTGCAGACCAGGGCACCCCAGGAACAGCCCTGCAGCACAGGCAACACACGTGCCACCCCATCCCACGAGGCTGATGCCCCCCCCCAAAAAAACGTGCCCTGACACACTCCAACCGTGCACACGCAGCCCCACGATGCTGCACAAACCCAGGGTCCCGGCAGCAAAGCTCAACATATCTCAGACACCCCAGAAGATGCTGCATAAACCAAGCAGGGACCACCCCTGTGACCCCCCCACTTCTGGTGGGAGCTCAGCCCTCCCAGCCCCAGCAAGGAGATAAAAACCAGCCCCATTTGGGCATAAACCACTGGAGTGTTTATTATTTATTCACCCAACGGGAATACAGCTGGATCCACAACACCCACCTCCCCCCCCAGCAGCAAGTCAGGGTGATAGGGACCACCAAGCAGTTCCTGACTACACCCCAACACTATGACCATGGAGAAGGGTCCCCAGATTTCCCCAGGGTGCTGCTGTGGGATGGGGACCCCCATGGATGACCACAAATAAAGGGTGGTAGTAACACCCTGTGCCCTGCTCCAGCTATTTCCCTGCTTGGGGGATTTCCAGGAGGTGCTGGGGGGGTGGAAAAAAATATATATACACCAGTGGGGAATAAGAAATAAATAAAATAAAAATAATCAGAGCAGTGCAAAGAGTTGGGTGCCACATCCCTGCTCAGCTGCCCTCAGAAGATGGGGAATAAGGGAGAAGGGGTAACAGCACAAGCAGCAAAATAAATCTGCTCGCCGAGCAGCGACGTAGCGAGACCCAGGTTGCATCTTCCCCAGCTTGTTTGAACCATGAAAAACATAAATATGAATTCAATATGAAGCGGGTGGAGTGTCCAGGTGGTGATGGGCACCCAGGAACGGGGCGGGGGGGGAAATAATTTTTAAAAATCAGGCTTCCTAAGCCCCAAACTGCTGCCTTTGCTCTGCTGAGGTGCTGGGAAAGGTATCGCGGGGAGGGAGGCGACTGCAGCCACCCCATGAGCATCACCCTGGACTCAGGTCCCCCCCAAAACCCTGCAAAGCCAGCTCTGCTTATCCAGCCATTTCCACCACAGCTGGAAAATAGGGCACCAGCCCCCCAGGGACACACAGGATGTGGTTCCAGGGAACCTGGACCACGGGGAGATCCAGGGGAGTGAGATCCCCAGGAAGATTCAGCAAAGGAGCTGGTCCCAAAGTGCTGCTTCTCCTTCCCAAACTCCCCTTATTTAGTCACAGAGTGGGCAAGCTGGAAGTGTTCTCCCCCCTCAAAAAATTATGCCAAGGAGAGGGTTGGAAAGAAAAGTTGGGGATTAAACCACTGGGGAACTGTGACTCACCCTCCTCAGAAAGAGAAACTAAAACCAAACCACCAAAAAAATCCAAGGAGGCGACGTCCTGCAAGAGCAACAGAAAGGGTGGTTTTTATTCAAAGCCAGGTTGGTAAAGCTTCCCCAGCTCCAAATAAAAATAGGAATAGGGGGAGAAGACCCCCCCAACCCCCTTTCTGTCCATCCCTGGTACCTCCATAAATCTCAAATCCCATCCCAAAAAACTGAACCTGCTGTTGAGCCGAGCTCGGGCTGGACACAAAATAAGACACCAACAAGCCCGAAGATGCTGGAAAAAAACCCCAAAACAATAAAAGGATGAGGTTTAGGGGTGCAGGGGAGGCAGAACCAGAGGATCCTGGGGACACAGGCACCCCCCAAAACCCAAAAAAGCTGGTCCTGGGGGGGTTGTATCAGTGATTTACAGAGGCAGGAGGAAACATGGTCGGGGCAGCTCCCGCCCGGGCACCCGGCTGAAAGCCTGGGAAAAAACACAAGAAGGAGATAAAAATATATATCAATATTAAATATATATCTATATAAAATGCTCAGACATATGTTGGATCAAGGATTGTGCTGCAAATTGTCCCAGTGAGCCCAGCACTGGGAGCTGCAAGAGGAGCAGCTGCGCTCGGAGCGAAGCCGCTGGGTCCTCCTGTCCCTGCAAACAGTGACCCCCCCAAAATAAAACACCCCTTAAACATTTACAATAAAATCCCCAATCCTCAAGTTTTCCTTCAGGAAAATTCCGTGTTTGGTTTGGGGGTGATTTTTTGGGGGTGTTTTTTTTTTCCTCTTGAGGAAAAAACTCAAAAGGAGGCACCAAAAAGGGGAAGAAAAATCATCAATTCCAGTTAAAAACCAACAAATCAGTCAGACCAGCGGCTCACGGTGCTGGGTGAACTGGGATCAAACTGGAAAGTGGGTGTTTGGTTTGGGGGTGATTTTTTTGGGTTGGTTTTTTTTCCCTCTTGAGGAAAAAACTCAAAAAGACACAAACCCACAAAAACAACCAACAACAAAACAACAAAAGGCGAGAAAATAAAAACCCGGCACCAAATCGATGGTTCCAGGTTAATTTACCCCTTCAAAATTCTCCCCGTCGCCCGGAGCGAGTTGGAAAAGGGTTTTCCAACGGTACCAGGACCCAAAGGAGGGAAGAACCGAAGCCCAAAGGACCAGGGGAGGCTGCAGAACCCCCCTTCCCCTCCCTCCCCCCAAGAGAGAGAGAAAACCCGACCCAAAATCTAATTGAATATAAGTTTTTATCTTGATGCAACATCATTAAAACCGTCACAAATCGAAACAACAGGTCGTTAAAAACGCTTCGCACGATCAGGACCTAAAATGCACCAGGTTCCCAAGCTCCTTTTGTCCTTAAAGACCCTTGTGGGGTTTTTTTTTTTCCCCCCTCCGAGGTTCGTTCTAATTTTTTTTTCGACGCTTTTCCTTTTTTAAACCAGCAACTCGTTAAAAAAACCAACAAGGAAAACAACCAACCCAGCTCATCCGAGCAGGATCGGGCCCTTTTTCTCTCCAAATTTGCACCAATCTCGATTTTCCTTTTTTTTTTTTTCCCCTCTTTCTTGGTGTTTTTATTGTTTGTTGTGTTTTGTTTTTTCCCCCCGCAATAAATACCTTGTGTTTGTTTTTTTTTTTCCCCCCCTTCTCTTTCTTCCCACATCCAGTTTAAAACCAGATCCCGTTTCCCCCAGGGTTTAATAAATAAATCTGGTGCATAGTGAGATAGCAGCCAACCCTTTAGCAGTCCATATATTACTATATTGCCTTTCAGGTCACCCTAAAATTCTTACCACCCCCTCCCTCCCCCCTCCCC